GCGTACAATTAAGGCAGTTCTGAAGGCAAAAGGGGGTCAAACACCGTATTAGTATGGTGTTCCTAATAATCCTTTAGGTGAGTGTATATTTCCCGGCTAAAGTAGATCCAATTAGAATAGTTGTTATCGGGCAAGCATGTTGGGGGAACGTCCCTCAGGAATCACAGTCTAAGGTGAATGACATGTGCTTTTGATTGTATTGATATTAAGGTTTTTAATGTAATTATGTCTTTGATATACTACTGCAGTAAATTAAATACTTTAAACTGACAAAGTTCTATTTAGGGAAAGTGGGACAGTATGTTTCAGGTAATATGGGACAATTTTACAGGCTCTGCCAAGAAGAGAGTAAGTACATATGTGACAGGATGGAGTATCAACTCCTAAATATATTCAGTAACTATACATAATTATATTTATTTATTTATGAAATGGGGTAAAAATCTCCAACTTGAATTTGTTAAATTGTTTTAGCGTATGATGGCACCAAGGCAGAGGGAGGCCGAAACGAAGGTTAGAGAGGTGAAGAGGCAGGAGGACTAAATGGTTACAAGCAACTGTACTTCTTACTGCTAGTATAAGCTTTACATGTATTGGTTTAGGTATTTTCTACAAAACAAAATCCAAAATGAAATGAAATTAAATTGACTTTTTTAAATTACTATTTTTCATTAAAAAAAAATTATCAACAATTAATGTTCAACTGTTCCTTGAACTGTTTAGTCTATTAAACTCGCAAAACCCTTTGCAAATTATTCAGTATTGATGTATTTCACCTATATTCAATATTGATGTATTGTACCTATATTCAGTATTGATGTATTAAATAAATGCCTGTCCCACATTACCTGAAATGCGTCCCACTTTACCTTACGGGTGCATGGAGTGTATAGACCTGAATCACGGCCCCCATAAGCAAGAAATTTAATGTTTTTATTTTGATAAGTAGACATCTTAAGGATTGCAGAAAAGTATCATATGTGGGTTAAGTAAATTAGGTTAATGTTTCAATGAGCACTAGAAATCAAAATGGCAAAAAAATGTCCCACTTTATCTGAATTCACCAGGTAAAATCTGTTAATTTTTAGCTTGTGGGGCCTTTTTTCAGGTCCCCACAATATAAACCTCAATAAAAATCTGCGACTTGCATGCAGTCTAAAAACTAAAAATGCCAAAAGACTTCGTATTTTGTTTGGTTACTTGTGGTTAAGGTTACGGCTGGGTAGGGGTTATGGTGCTGTTGGGATTAGTTTCCCCGTAGAAATGACTGGAGAGTCCCACAAGGATATAATTACAAACCTGTGTGTGTGTGTGGGGGGGGTACTATCCAGACATTTAAGGTGAAATATAATATTGACACAAAATTAACAAAACGTATCATTGACATTGAGCGATCACCTGTCAGTATGCCGGTGTCCTTAAACCGCTATATAATATAATTCAAATATCCAGCATAATGAAGGGCATAAACACTTTAGATTCAGGATCCTCCAAAGCGATTTCGGATCAGTCTAAAACATACGTGCATTAAGCAGAGAACATCGACAGGAGCGCCTTATCAAGTTACGGCACAGAAAGCATATCACCCGATACAGCGTTAGATAACTGTCTACCATCTGCAGCCCCAAATATATGGCACTAATGGACGATGGCCTTAAAATAATAATACTCGAGGTTAAAAATGGAACCGACCTTTTATGTGCTGGTGCCTACCGATTTCCAGTATCGTTATGTCTTAGTTTAGAGTGAATAGTAGGCTTTCCTAAAGACTACACGCCCCAAGAGCCCCTTTCGCCTCTCAGATCTTGCGGCAGACGCGTGCGTATGACGTTGGCTCATGACGCGTAATAACAGGCGACACTTAAGGAAACATGTCGCTACTTTTGTGACACTTACCGGACTTATATTGGATAAAAATATAAACATTTAACGATCGGTTTGGTAACGGTGTTTATTACATTTTCAAATCAAGCAGTGACACGACACGCATCGGTATCTTTTGATAAATTGGTTTCCCGCCGTGATCCAGGATTGCCGTGCGGCCATGGCTGCTGTCCCGTGTCGCCGAGTCACCGCCTACCGACGCTGGGATTAAGGCGGCCCGCTCGGGCATGTAGCTCGCTTTTTATTGTCTGCTCTGCTTCTGGATAGTGCTGTCAATGGGGAAGAGGAAAGACATGATTCATCAAAAGTATATTTCGGGTAAGAAGAGTCATTTTCTCCCAAAAGCTGTTTAATCTCTAGGTAAAACCCGTAGGCCGCGGTCCGAGCGGACCCGGGATATCGGCGCTTGCGTTGCCTGCAGAAATGTGGCATAAACTGCGGTGCATGTGTTTAAAAATAGTCCCAGATAACCTCGATTTGTGGCCGAAACCATTGATCCCCTTTACCGGGGCGGATGACTGGTGGCCTCGTAGCTAATCGGCTTTCTCTCCCTCTCCCACGGGCGGAATGATGCGCTGCTCTCCTTAGGCTAAATGTCGGCTGATCGTCATTTTTAATATGCGACCAAATTATCGCGGGAAGCTGACTGTCTGAGGAACCCATCCAACTAGACGACGGATGGCTAACTAGTTAATTATCAGCTGATACTAACTAATTAAAACGGTCTTTTCAACTTTAGCTAACCAACACTAACAAGCTTACCCGATGAAGCGCATATTACCGGTTTCTTCGATACCAGTGTGTTTTTTACGTGTCATACGTGTGCTGTAATATTAATCCATCCATCTTCCGAGCACTTATCGTAGTCAGGGTCCCGGGGGTGGCCCTGGAGTCTATCCCATGATTTATGCATTCGTTAATATTTAGATATTTAAAATCAAATCCTTGTTTTAATGTAAAACATTAGGGGGAAACACACACACACACACACACTATAGTTTAGAATCTTATCTACTCTAAAGGACAGCAAGGACTTTGAAGATACTCGGTCTGTAGTGGAGTTATAAAAAGTCAGTCAGTAGTTCTGTATATTGTAGGTTGTAATTCCAGCAGCCACTCTGCAGTACTCCTAGTGTGCCACACTTTTAAAAACTGCAGCACCTGGATTGTTTTGGTGATGAGAAACCAAAGGTCCGTCTCTATATGTTGTTGCAGGAGATGAGTCTGGGGGACATAAGAGGAAACACAAGAAACATAAGAAGCACAAGAGGAGGCACCACAGAGAAGACGGGGTTCACGCCTTCCCTCCAGAGGCCCTGGAGTCTCATTCAGGAGGGGGCCTCAAGCCTCAGCTCAAGCTGAAGATCAAGCTGGGGGGACAGACCCTGGGCACCAAGAGGTCAGTCTGAGCGGCTGGGGGGGCAGAAGGGGCTGTCTGTAAAGGGGATATGTGTCAGGGTATATCCACTGCAGACTCCTCAGCAGAGGTGGATAGTTCAGGTTCAGGAAGTAAAAATCCAGACCAAGATTTTATTTCAACCAACCAGTTAAGTCTGTGACTGTGACTCTTTACTGGATTTTTACTTTCTGAACCTGAACTACCCACATCTGTCCGATAGGCCAAAGGCTGTCTCGTATTATCTGTGGGGTCTGCTTTTAATGCCCTGTGGGGGCCGCTCTCGCTTCGACAGTGTTCCGACGTTCACCGTGGTGCCAGAGGCGGAGCGCTCGCCGTCGCCACTGATGGTGGTGGATGACGTGGATGAGGAGGAGCCCACGGAGGGCGTGCCCATTGAGCAGTACAGGGCCTGGCTGGGTGAGCGACCCCTGCTGGGAGAAAGTGGTAATGGGCTGGCCTCTCCAGCATAATCACCCTAAAAGCCACTAGCTGAGTTATCCTGGCCTCAAAGCTTTTAACTCTGTCATGCTCAGATTCCTGCAGTGTCTCTGTAAATCTGCGTTAGTAGTCATCCGAGGGCCCAGGGGGGGAGGTCTGGGAAGGGGAGGGTGTGGCCTCATTTGCCCAGCATGCATGTGCTGTGCTTCAGATGAGGACAGCAACTTGGACCCTTCCCCCCTCCCTGACATGGACACGGACTCCCTCCTGGGGGGGCCCATGGACGAGGAGGAGAAGTGGCTGGATGCCCTGGAGAAGGGAGAGCTGGACGACAACGGGGAGCTGAAGAAGGAGATTGACGAGTCTCTGCTGACCGCGAGACAGGTACAAAGGGGGAGACAGGCGTAGCGGTCCGAGAGAGAGCGGGCACACCGTGTGACCTTCGAGGCCTCATTATGGAATCCTTACAAAACCCAGCTCTAAACAGTCTACATTCCAAAGGGGTTGTTTCAAGATCTTAAGCATTCCTGAGATGGAACCTGGTGATCTTTCTTTGGACCTGATGAACAGTGGGCGGCTGTCGGTCGGGGTGTATAGCAAGGGTGGCTAATCTTATCTGCAAAGGGCCCGGTGTATGCAGGCTTTTGGGATAACCTGTAGCTCAGCTGTTCAAACCCAGGTGTGAGGACTCTTCAGCCAATCAGTCCTCTAATTGGGGAGTTGCAGTGAAAACCAGCATGCACAACGGCCCTTTCTGGGAATAAGATTGCCCACCCCTGGCATATAGTGTTTGTATGAAATTGGCTGAAAGCTTTAATATTAGTAGCTAAACCCCGGCATTATTATACGCTACAGCATGGTCTCATTACATTAACTCATTTATCTGACTCTTTTATCCAAAGCAACTCACAGTAGACAGAAGGGTTACAATATGTGTGTGTTTCCTGGGATTTGAACCCACTGCCTTTCTGTTGTTAGCATAGTGCTGTACTTGAGGTACAGGAGTTAATGTGCCATAGCTGCATGTCCCAGTGCGGCTCAAAGAGCTGCTGTCACCAGGGTGACGAGCACGTCATCTGCATCTCCAAAGGAACCAATCCAAACCGTTCCCAGCAGTCTACAGATGATACTTTCGTCACGCGAGGACCTGTTGTCCTGAACTGTGCCGAGCAGATTGGCCTGTCCGGTCAGGGAGACCCCCCCCCCTCCCGAGAGCTGTGGGAACATTTTGTCCATCTGCCTTGTTAAAAAGATGAGGACTCAGTGTATTTCACATGGTTGTGCAGTTCCAGTGCGTACTACAGCATAATGTACTAATTATGGGCTAATGATGTCATTTGTTTTGGTGGCCCTGTCCCCTGTGCTGGTTGATTATTGTCCTTTGGCTGGGAGTGAGGTTTAGATGGTTGCTGGGTTTCGTGGTGTCAGATTAAGCAGCAGCAGCAGCAGTCCTTATGGACGTGGCTGAGGTCATCTGCATGTGGTGGGTGCATGACTTGTCCCTGTCTTGCAGAGAGCCCTGCTGCACAAACAGCAGAGCCAGCCCTTGCTGGAGCTGCCCATGGGTTATAAGGAGAAAGCCATGACGGAGGAGATGATGCAGAAGCGGGAGGAGCGCGCTCGCAAGCGCCGCCTGCAGGCCGCCAAGAAGGCCGAGGAGAACAAGAACCAGACCATCGAGAGGCTCACCAAGACCAGCAAGGCCAAGATCAAGAGCATGCGAGAGCGCAAGGCACGGCAGACCCCCTGCCCCATGGTCCGCTACTGCGACTCCGCCCACGGCACCACCATCTCCTTCCCCCAGGGCGTGCCCACCCCCGTGGTGGCTGCCCCCAGGCCCCTGCCCGTCCCCGTCAGCTGCGGGGTAACCGGCTGCTCCAACCTCAAGAGGTACTCCTGCTCGCGGACCGGAATCCCTCTGTGCAGCCTGGACTGCTACCGGAAGAACCTCCTGGTGCTGGGGATGGCGTGAAAGATGAGGCTTGACCCCCCCCCACCACCACCAGACGGGACTGTACTTACCACGTACCCCCAAATTGGGGGGGTTAATGAGACTGATGAATTATCTAAAGGAAATGAGGCACATCGCTGAGAGTGACCGAGATCGTGTGTATTTATTGATGTACGTTGGTGTGGTGAAGCCCACTGTCACACTGTTTGAATTATGGCGACTGGTCTTGTTTTTGTACATGAGCAGAGTAATTGGATTGTCAGTAGACGGGTCAGTGACCTGAGATTAAAGCCTCCCCATGTGGGACCAGTAGGATGTGTGTTTTAGCCCCACGGTGAGAAGCTTCAATTGATATGATGGATGGTGTCACAGAAAATGGCTTTTCCAGGACCAACCACTGGAGAACCCGTGGGTCAAGGACTAAGTCAGCGAGGACCACAGGCAGGAACCCGACGGGGTGTGTCTGTATCTGCCTGTCTGTCTCTCTGACATACACGCAGCAGGTGGCAAAGGAGAAGGTAGACGCAGGATTAGGGTCCAGGACGTTACAGGGATAATGCAACAGATTTGTTTTAAAGCCATTTAACATGGTACCACACCACTGTTTGAAACTTCACAAGTAAAATTTTATTTTTATATTTACACTGAATGACTGAAAATTTCTATTACAAACTCCAAATATATAAAACATTTCTGAAATGCATCTTAAATAAAAGGCTGCCGCTCCCATTTGCTCATTGGTGCTTTCGTGCAGGCGCCTTCTCCTCCCACCACCAGGGGGCAGGTATCTGCGCTCAGTCAGCACCCACCAGCGGCACAGTCTGGCCCTGAAGCTGAAGTCAGTCCACGACCCTTGAAGAGTGGCATCACAACGCCAAGCCAAAGGACAGCCTGAAGGCCATCTCCACGGGCAGTTCGGTCACCGAGTCGTGGAAGCACACGTAGAATTCCTGAGGGACGGGCTCCAGATGCATCCGCCTGGACGAGGAGAACTTCCAGTGAGAGCCCATTCAGATACAGGCTCACACACCATACAGATACTACACCGCACTCACAATGAGCGTATCATCGCCCTGACTGCCGCCTCATGGTGACCTACCCGATTACCCAGTAGGTCATGGTGGGTGCTGGCTTCTTCTGCTCGTTCCAGTTCTCTGGCTTGCACTGGAACAGGACACCGTGCTCCTTCACAGGGCCCAGACCCCGGGGTCCCTGGTGCCCGTCTGTGCCCTGCCTCTCCTAGACGGGGGGAGCAGACGTGGGTCACATGGTATATGTACGCACACGCCTGTAACTACACGCTAAATGCTAACGGCTTGTGCAGTGCCTGTAACAGCAAATCGCCGTCATACCCACACAGCTGGGCCTGCTTAACCCAAGGCTCACCTCTAAACCCAGATGTGCTCATCCGTACATCTCTAGCTTATCTGTGTGTATATACACTGTATGTGGGTATATATGTGTGATGGCATGTGTGTGTTTGTACAGTGGAACCTGGTTATAGTGATCAACCGCTTATATGGCTCAAAAAGCTTGGGACAGAATCATTCCTGTACAAATGCTGTTTAAATAATTTGCTTATAGTAATCAAGTAGTCTGCTTACAGTGTTCATTTTGGGTCTTTTTATACATGACAACATACAGAAAAAATTAAACTACGCCAGTCCTTTACTTTGCTAAGCCTACTTTGCTTTGTGGTAGCCCGTCTGCTTCTGGCTAGCTACCCGAGGCTAATGCTGCGTCCACAGAAAACATGACTGGTAAGTCAGTCATTTTCTCTCAATGACAAATACAGGCTTATCCAAGCTTATGATAAACTGCCAGAAACGAGCCACCGAGATGCAGCAGCGAGACTACAATAAGCTCTATTTTATGCACAATACTGTACTGTATTGAAGCATCGAGCAGACCAAGGAATCTCGTTGGCAGCGAATGAAAACGATGAGGCGGACGGACATGAAGTTGTTCTTTATGTTAATCCTTAAAGAGACCACACAACAAGCAACAATAACACAAAAGCCATGAATGACAGGGAAACACGGGGAAGTTACACTGATAGTGCAGGTGCTTGTTGTCCTGTGTAACAAACACAAACAGGGGCCATATACACGCACTTGCAAGGCATGCTGGGACATGCAGATACCGCCGGCGCTATGGTATTATAGCGTATTTGAATTATACATAGTTCAGCAATTTAATTTGTACAGTATTGTAATTTGAAAAATGTTTGTACTATATTTTGAGTCAATAAAATTCTTTAAATACAGACGCTGTCCATTTTATTACCTTATATTCATGTAATAAATATACAAATGTCAATTAGATGGTAATCTGCCTGAGACAAAGGGGAAAAAAAAAATCGGTTATAATGATCATCCACTTATAGTGGTCAATTTCATATCGACAGACGTGATCACTGTAAGCGGATTCCACTGTATTTGTATATGCCACATTGTGGGGACATTTGGTAATTTTACTGTTACTTTTTAGCTTGTGGGGGCATTATTGAGATCCACACAATATAAACCTCAATTTAATAATAATCTGTGTATGCAATCACAAAACTAAAATAGCCAAAAGTCTCATATTTTGCTTGGTTATTTATGGCTGAGGTTAGGGCTGGGTAGGGGTTAAGGTCGTCATGTTGTGATTAGAGTTTTCCCCATAGAAATGAATGGAGAGTCCTCACAAGGTAATATGTGTGTGTGTGTGTGTGGGTGTGTGTGTCCCTCGCTCACCCAGGATGTCAGGCTCTGCTGAAAGGCAGCCCGGATGGACAGGCAGCAGCGGTGGAAGTTGCGGATAAGCTGGGGGTGGATAGAGCCACTGAGCTGGGCCACCTCGCGGTGCGTGGGCGCGATGAAGATGCCCTGCACCGTCTCCATGCACACGTAGTGGAAGAGCGTGTTCTCGGTGCCGGAGCTCAGCCTGGGGGCACAGACACATCAGCCTCGGCCCACAATGCCACGCAGTCTCAGACTCCAGCGGCACTCAGCGTACTGTATCGCCAACCCCTGTAAACCGCCCACGTTGGCCAGATGTGGCACCAGGCACTGTGCTGGTGGCCCCCAATTGGATGGGGGGGGGGGGGCACTGCTCTTTGTGTGCTGTAGGACTGTGTTCTTAATTCCCTTCCTGAAGGTATTGTCTGGGAAGTAATTCTTCCGGTGATGCTAACATTGCACGCTAATTAACACCTTAGCTGTGAGCTCAGCGCCCAGGTGTGGACACCCCAGGACTAAAGGGGTGTGAACATTCCTTTCCCCCAGCCCGCACAGGATCAGCACAGAGTACCTCCTTCCCTCATCTACCCAGGATGCCGTGCGGCGGCGCCGCTCACTTCATGGTGCTGTAGGCGGCCTCGGCGTCCCTCTCCGACAGGCTCCTCTTCAGTGTTCCCAGGTAGAAGGGGTTTGGGTGCTTCTTCTTGGGCATCTGGCCACACAGCAGCAACACATCAGTGAAAACCATGTCCTTCTAATATCATATTCCCCCCCCCCCCAGTAAAACTGATGGATCATTCCTATTGGATTAACCCTCACACATATTAACAGAGGATGTAGTTTTGCAAGGGGCCGCCTGGGTGGTACACGGCTGTGATTCGTCAAGCTGTCAGATTGCCGTTCGGACAACGCGTTTGTGGGTGTGATGGAGTGTTGGGGGGGGTCTGTGAGTTTCAGTGTTAGCGGGCAGAACCAGGCAAACTGTGTCTGCACACGGCCATGTCCCTGTAACCTTGCCCGTGCTTGACGTGGGGTGATACACGTTACCGTCAGAGGAGCGTCACGTGACAGTGCGTGGGAGTTTAGGCCTGGACACGCTACGGTTGCTAATTAACACACACTATGGGCGCTAATTAAAAACAGAACACAGTTATAAACTCTGACAAGCCGTTATGGAAAACAGATGGATGTTGTTAATTCACGTCGATGAGGACAGATTACCCATTAGAAAGAACCCAAACACTGTAATGACTTTCGGCTATTAATAACTCCATATTAACCATGTGCGTCACTCGGAACATTAGGAGAGACTAGCCAGAGATTCCTGGAAAAGGAGAATTGGAGAGTGACTGTGGGGGTGGGGGGTGACAGGAAGAGGAAGTGGAGAGCGACTGTGGGGGGAAGGGTGACAGGAAGAGGAAGTGGAGAGCGACTGTGGGGGGAAGGGT